TAGAACTAGAACAAAGAATCCTAAAATTTGTATGGAACTACAAAAGAGCCCAAATAGCCAAAGCAATCTTGAGAAAGAAAAACAAAGCTGGAGTTATCATGCTCCCTGACTTCAAACTATACTACAAAGCTATAGTAATCAAAACAGTATGGTACTGGCACGAAAACAGACACATAGATCAATGGAATAGAATAGAGAGTCCAGAAACAAAGCCATGAATATATGGTCAATTAACCAATGACATCTTTGTCGTAGGCAAGAAAATACAATGGAGAAAAGATAGTCTCTTCAATAAACGGCTTTGGGAAAATCGGATAGCCACATGCAAAAATGAAACTGGACCACTATCTTACACTATACACAAAAATAAATCCAAAATGGAATAAAGTACTTGAATCTAAGACTTGAAACTATAAAACTTCTAGAAGAAAACACAGTCAACTCTCTGAAATCGGTCTTTTTTGAAATATTTTTTTGGACTAGTCTCCACAGTCAAGGGCAACAAAAGCAAAAAATAAACAAATGAGATTACTTCGAACTAAAAAGCTTTTGCTCAGTGAAGTAAACCATCAACAAAAACGAAAAGAGAACCTACTGAGTGGGAGAAGATATTTGCAAATCATACATCTGATAAAGGGTTAATATCCAAAATATATAAAGAACTTATGCAACTTAATATCAAAAAAACAAACAACTCGATTAAAAAATGGGCAAAGGACTTGAATAGACATTTTTCCAAAGAAGACATATAGATGGCCAACAGGCACATGAAAAGATGCTCAATATCACTAATCATCAGGGAAATATAAATCAAAACCACAATGAGATATAACCTCTCACCTGTTAGTATGGCTATTATCAAAAAGACAAAAAATAACAAGTGTTGATGAGGATGCGGAGAAAAGGGAACCCTTGTACACTGTTGGTGGGAATGTAAATTGGTGTAGCCACTATGTAAAACAGTATGGAGGTTCCTCAAAAAATTAAAAATAGAACTACTATATGATCTAGCAATTTCACTTCTGGGTATTTATCTGAAGAAAATGAAAACACTAATTTGAAGAGATTTATGCACCCCTGTGTTCACTGCAGCATTATTTACAATAGCAAGATATGGAAGCAACCTAAGTGTCCATCAATAGATGAATGGATCAAGAAGATGTGGTGTATATATACAATGGAATACTACTCACCATAAAAAAGAATGAAATCTTGCCATTTACACAACATGGATGGACCTAGAGGGTATTATGCTAAGTGAAATAAGTCAGACAGAGAAAGATAAATACCATATTATTTCACTTATATGTGGAATTTTAAAAACAAAGCAAATGAACAAACAAAACAAAACAGAGACAGACTCATTGACACAGGCAACAAACTGGTGGTTGGGGGAAGACAGGTTGGGGGATGGTCAAAATAGGTGAGGGAGATTAAGAGGTACAAAATTCCAGTTATAAAATTAATGTCACGGGGATGTAACGTACAGTATAGGGTACATAGTCAATAACATTGTGATAACTTTGTACGGTGTCAGACAGTAACTAGACTTATCATGGTGATCGTTTCAGGAAAAAAAAAGAAAGACTTGTAGTAACTGAAATAAAAGGCTGAAGTGGATGGTCTATCAGTTATAACGCAGAGTTGGCTATTACTGCTCCTTACCATGTTTTTATTAAAAGTCAACAATGAGATTATGCTAAAGACAACAGAATCTTTCCTAGCAAAAAAGAAATAGAATGTAAAAATAAAAGGTAAAATTTTACCCTGTATTGTGTAAACAAAGTAGAGCATGTCAGATTAATGAATGACCTACTTGGGAAAACTTGTAGCCAAGGGTTTAATCTGTCTGTTTTTGATAGTGGAAAGCTTGTATCCATTTCCGACAGAGATCTCAGAACATCTAATTTATATGAAAAATGAAAAGCTCTCAAGAAACACGCCAAGCCATAGTTAGTTTATTTATCCCTTCAGGTGCTTAACATTAGCTTTTAGTTGTCTACTCAGTATACACAGTATTTTTGTTAATTTTTTGTGTGGGCTTTTTATTAAAATTTGGAAGATGTACACATTTTTTCCCTGCTTTACCAGGGGAAAAGCTGATGAGATGTCAGAAATAGATTAGGTTTAGATTAATTATTTAAACCAGAATCCTAGTTGCTGGATTACTGGGGAGAAGGGAAGTGGTAATGTTAACCTGTGTATTCTCCATTTATTTACTCATTTATAAGCAAATTTCTAAGGCTATAATCACTTTAGCACTTTAATTCCAAATACCAATTTAAGAATCAAACCAGGGGCCAGCCCCGTGGTGCAAGCAGTTAGGTGCACGCGCGCGCTCGGATCCCGGGCATGCACCAACGCACCGCTTGGCAAGCCATGCTGTGGCGGTGTCCCATATAAAGTGGAAGAAGATGGGCAGGGATGTTAGCCCAGGGCCAGTCTTCCTTAGCAAAAAGAGGAGGATTGGCAGATGTTAGCTCAGGGCCGATCTTCCTCACAAAAAAAAAAAAAAGAAGAAGAAGAATCAAACCAAACAATTATTCCACCCAGGAGGTCATTAAGTTCTATCAGCATTTCTAGCATTCATAGTGTTCATCTATGAAACTGGGCTTAACATTGTGTTCTTCAAAAGTTGGATTATGATCAAAATGATGCTGTATAAACTGGGGAAAAAATGGATGCACCAATATCCACTAAAGAAAACACTAAATTGGATTATTTGGCCAAATAGAAATGAAGTCAGTCCAAAGATGCAGGATTGTAAGCCATTCTGCCTATAATTTTATTTGTCTATTCCTCCGAAAATAGCTGCTTTGCTCTAATTGCTCAGAAATAGCAAGACCCTAGCCATTGTTTGGGCCACTATGACCCCTAGACATACTGAGACCTCCACTGAGGAAGGAAGCCCAGAGAGAACTGAGGCAAAATGGATGCTGTGAGTCTGGCCAACAGTCTAAGCCACAGTGCCTGGGGTCAAGGGGCTAACTCTGGGCTGTTATCGTTTTCTAAGAGGGCTGAATAAGTAGATGAGACATGAAATAAGAGCAAAACATCTGGAGAAAAATGGTTATCAGATGGCTGAATAGCAATATCACTTTTAAAAATAAAATAAAATAAATATTATATGCCACAAAAATTTTAAACAATAGTGGAGGGCACAAAGTGAAAAGTAAAAGTACCCTTACTCTTTATGATAGTTAATTTTACGTACCAACTTGATTAGTCACGAGGTGTCCAGATATTTGGTTAAATACTATGGGTGTGTCTGTGAGGGTGTTTCCAGATGAGATTAGCACTTGAATCAGAAGACGGAGTAAAGCAGATTACCCTCTCCCAATGTGAGTGGGCATCATTCAATCCATTGAGGGCCCAAATAGAATAGAATGGTGGAGAAATTCCCCCCTTCTGCCTGAGAACTTGAGCTGGGGTGTCAGCCTTCTCCTGCCCTTGGACTAGGATTTACACTGTAGGCTCCCCTGGTTCTCAGGCCTTCAAACTCAGACTGAATTACACGAAGATCGTGGGATTGCTCAGCCTCCACAATCACCTGGGTGAACTCCTTATACCAAATATATATATATACACATTTCCTCTTGGTTCTGTTTCTCTGGACAACCCTGACTAATACACCCCTCTTCAGCTCCTAATCACATTTCCCAGAATAGTTTTTCTTCTGCAAATTCAAAAATATAAATATAAATATCCTTTGTTTATACACAAATGAGATTGATGGGGTTCAGGGCAGGCCGCCCCAAGATGTGCTACTCTGGTGTCGACGCAAAATAACCGACGACCATTCTATAGATAAGAGAAATAAGGTGAGTTTACTTGAGCCAGAGTGAGGATTATAACCCAGGAAGGCCTTAAAAAGCATTCTGGAGAAGTATGATTTTCAGTACAGTCATATCTTTTTAAAACAAAGCACATACATTAAACATACCCAGGATACATTTTTATCAAAATTTCAAAGAGGTATTCAATTGCAAATTAGCAAATCAACCGTGACCGTGATGTCAGGAAAGGGACTAATCCAGGTGTTACCAATAGGGCGTAGGAGGGGAAGTATGCACTCTTATCTTAAGAGAGTGTATTCTTTACTTTAATGGTTAAACAGATGTACAATGTATGTTTGATAGGCCATAAGGCAGGCTTTTCGGTTCAAGCCGAATCAGTTTTAAACCAGAATAGTTAGCCCATATACCTCAATATGTGAAAATCTCTTGTCACTGGTATGAGGATTATTTTGAGCTGAAGACAATAAAGGCTCAGAAGACTCTGAAGGAAACTTTGAACTCCACTGCCCCCCACATACACACTAACTGTCTAAAAGGATTTAAGATAGAAGGCCTGTCCCCAGGAGAGGCCATCACCATAGATAACTCTGGGTATGGATAGACTGGGAGGATCCTTGCTAAGCCCATTCTTATCAAAGTTCTGTTTACCAAACATTTACATTTGTAAGGAAAATCTCCATCTGTAAAGGTATCTCCCTCTCTGTACCGGGAAGAAGGGGGGATGACCTCATTTCTAGAAACTTATCAATGTGGAAGGCAGGCCTTAAATCTGCATAATAACCTTACTCTTGTTTACTGTGCTTTTCTGGTATTCTCCCATAGCTGACTCTCCCGACCCCAACATCATCCTTTGTCTTTATCTGAATCTATTTAAGAAAAGAACCTCCGCCATTTTGTCGAGTTACCCAGTTTCCTGGGTCTCTCCCATGTATACATGTTATAAAACTTTGTTTGATTTTCTCCTGCTATTCGGTCTCAGGTCAATTTAATTTGTAGCCCAGCCAGAAAGGACCCAGAGTGGGTAGAGGATAGTCTTCCTCCCCTTCAAGATCATACTCTATACATTGATCTGTAAATTGTTTTTTCATTTAATGCATCTTAGAGATTTTGCTATAGTGGTACATATAGATCTACCTCTTGGAACATAGTACCACATAGAACACAGTTACCATAATTTCATTAACTAGTTCCCTATTGATGGACATTCAGCTGTTTCTATGGTTTTGCAATTAAAACTACACTGAAATACCATTTCTCACCTATCACATTGACAATCCAAAAGTTTAAAAGCATACTCTATCGACAAGGCAGCGGGGAAACAGGCATTCTTATACATTGCTGGCAGGAATGCAAAATAATACAACCTCTATGAAGAAGAATCTGGCAATATCTAGCAAAATTACATACACATTTTCCATTAATCTAGCAATTCTATTTTTAGGAATTTATTCCAAAAATATACTTGCAATAATACTACAGTGGATGCTGTGGTAGATTACCCACATGCCCTCTTTATGACATAGGCTATGGGTGACCCCCATCTTATGAGTTTGGCAGCAGATGGCTCTCAGCTGAGATCCTCTCTAAGAATTGTCTTTTGCTGAAGAACACTGCCTCCCAATTCACATCCTGTGACTATTCTACTCAGGGTGTAAGGACCCTCCCCCTCTGCCTCAAGAAAGAACAACTTCAAAGAATCATCTAGCCCCAGAGCTCTCCATAGGATTGGCTGAGGCCTTTGGTGCAAATTTATTGCAGTTCAACTCTTTCCCATGTCCAATCCTACTTCCTTCACTCCTTCAAAGGTTTTGATCCCAAAACCAACCACCAATAACTTCCTGCATGTAAATCTCTGCTCAGAATCTATTGCCCAGGGAACTCAATTGGTTGTTGCCAGAGTGGTCTAAGGAAGCAGACTGGAAAATGGGATCTTAGAGCTGCCTCATCAGCCAGCTGGCTGACAATGAGAACCATATCACTGCCGGTAGGTGGAGTACTGATAGTGCCTGGCATGCTGTAGCAGTGCAATTGTTAAAACTTGTACATGTGGTGAACTGGGATGGGACACCAGTGGAAGGGAATGTACTGACAGTTGTAATACTTCAAGCTTTTGTGGAAGTAATAATTATAAGGACAATGGAATCAAATCACTGTTGCTGAGTGCCATTGATAAACTGGAAAAAGACAATCAAAAGCTAAGGATAATTATTAAAGTGAAATGCAAAACTTGGAACTCAGAGATCCTCCTTGGTAGCAGATAAAGACACTCTTATCTCCTGTAGCCAGACAACAGAAAAATCTGAGCATCAGGGTCAGGATTTAATTATGACAGCAGAGTTCCAGAAAAAGGTGCATTCTCAGTTCTACAAGTCTGATATGTCAAAGTCGGTGCCCTGGTGGGGAAGGAGGTCATGGTCAGAGCCCTGTTTGGGTCTGGGGATATCTGAGTTAATTCATTCAAAAACCTTGAAACCTCTGATCATCCCCCTGAACCCTTTGGTCTACAGAAATGGCCTTCTCCTCTGACTTACAAGCTAGCCTTCCATTGACCACTCTTTCCTAGAGACAAGCCATGCCCTTCCCACCCCCATCTCCAAGATCAAACCTGTCTTCTCATGACCTTTACCAATAACTAGGGTCAAGCCTTAAAATAACCCAGAAGAGGAAGTACTAGGCTTGTTAAGGGAGGAAAGGGACTATATGCTGAAAGAACTGGAGGATCTAGCTGTTAACGTACAAACATGAGCTAGGAAAGTACGTATAGGATTGAATTCTAAGGGTACTGGATCAATGGAAATGGAACATCAGGTTGGACAAGGGACAACTTTTCAGTATGGGAGTAGTCTCCCAGGATATAGGATTTAGCAGCTTGGTCAGAACCCCAGGAAACAGTGCTACCAAACTAACAGGATAACTCTTACAGGTAGAAAAATCAATGGCTTACACTAAGCGAAGTGGAAATGCCAGAACTGCTTTGGAAAATGTTGTAAGAAGTGATCAAAAGACTCAGAGAGTTAGGCCAGAATGGAAATACTGTATAAAACCAGAAACTCAGAACTAATATGTCCCATGGGAGAGCCTAGAGGAGAATCTGTTTTCCAAAGTGATAAATGAGCTGATGAGAGGAGCACCAGAATCATTGAGAAGCTCAGTGTTGACTATCCTCTGTAGGCCAAAGCCGAGAGTAGGAGAAAAAGTGTTATAGAACTATGAGAGGCTCCCAAATTACAGAGGCTAGGTGATGAAGTTAAGCCATTAGAAGCAAGGTGGTCACAATTATTACAAGGAACAGTAAGTTCATCGTGGCAGTTGTAGGGGATGGGAGTCTGAACCATAGAAAGATACTGAGATTTTTTAATAGGGCACAGTAGTACCCTTGGGGCTAGATCAATGGGCAACCAACAAGGGTACTGCTCAATCTACATGAGGAAAAGAAATCAAAGATGGATGAAACAAGAGGCTGAAGGTAACAACCCCAATAAAAAGATGCAATCCTTTGCTTGGTTCCAAGACCTGAGCCAGTTCTCAGACCCAGAACTCACTGACTAGAAGAGAATCCAGAGTCCCAAGGAGAAATAATCCTAAAACACCACAGCAAGTATATACAGGAATGATTCTCCTGTTCTTTCCCATAGACTAGAAACAGCACAAATATTCATCAATATGGAACTGGTTGGCCCAAGCTGTGGTACCTCCAAACATGGAATACTGTGCAGCTGCAAAAAGGAATAAGGCTTCTCTCTATTTATACTTATGTGTAGGGATCTCCAAAAGATATCATTAAATTAAAAAAGCAAGGTGCAGATCAGTGTATATAGTATGTTAACTTTTGTGTAAAAACAAAGAAGGAAGACTAAAATATATATGCATTTGCTTTTATTTTCAAAGTAAATTAACAAAAAGCTAAGCTAAAAACAAATATAAATGATATTCTGGTGGGGGGAGGGTGAATACAGAGTGGAAGAAAAAGGCATGGGAACAAAATTTCTCTGAATGTACCTTACTTTACAGCATCAAAAGACACAAGAGTCACCTTCAAGAGTTTTCACTGGCCAAAGAAGGGCAGTTTGAGTGTGAAAAATAATACCGACTCCAACTGATTAAAACACAATACATATAAATTCATGAATTCTTAATTAAACTAATTAAAAACTTCATTAGTCACTATTAGAGGTTTGCTAAGGCACATAAACTTATTATTTTGAAAAATTAATGAATGAAGGGAAAGAATCAAGCAGTTATGCTGCTTTTGTATACAAACTATATTTCAGAGGAACCAAATAGTTGAGGAGGGAAAGTTCTTCTTTGCAGAATTCCAGCTAAGGGCCGGCCTGGTGGCACAGCGGTTAAGTGTGCGCGTTCTGCTTTGGCAGCCTGGGGTTCGCAGATTCGGATCCCAGGCACGCACTGGCACACCGCTTGTCAAGGTATGCTGTGGCAGCATCTCATATAAAGTAGAGGAAGATGGGCACAGATGTTAGCCTAGGGCCAATCTTCCTCAGCAAAAAGAGGAGGATTGGCATCGGATGTTACCTCAGGGCTAATCTTCCTCACAAAAAAGAAAAAAAAAAGAATTTCAGCTAATACATCACCCTTTTGTAAGCCCTAGTGAAATAATGAATGTAAGCAACAATCATCAATGGATGCTAAAACCCTAGGTGAAAGGTTAATGGAAGCTTTCTAGTGGGTGGCTCAGGCTAGCAGCACTAACAATGGGACATTGTTAGTTATCTCCTGATGTGATGTAATAGGAAGTACCATCTATGAAATATCCTACTCCCCACCCCCCTCCCAAATCAAATCTGATTATAAATAAGCCTTTATAACTTAATGCCAATTTTTAGGAAATACAGGATATAGAAGAACAAATTAAATGAAACCATGATGTAAAAAGAAGCCAAGTCCAGAATGCAGAAGATTCTACAGATGAATGACACAGCTTCAACAAATCAGAAAAGAAAAAGAGGTAGGACTATTACAGATTAAAAGAAATTTGAGAAATATAACAATCCAATGCAATATATAGACTACGTTTGGGTCCTGTATTTTCGAATTGCTGCTGTAACAAATTAGCATAAACTTAGTGTTTTAAAACAACATAAACTTATTATCCTTTTTTTTTTTTTTGTAAGGAAGATCAGCCCTGAGCTAACATACACTCCAATCCTCCTCTTTTTGCTGAGGAAGACTGGCCCTGGGCTCACATCTGTGTTTATCTTCCCCTACTTTATATGGGACACCACCACAGCATGGCCTAACAAGTGGTGCATCTGTGGGCGTCCGGGATCCAAACCCGGGTCGCCACAGCAGAGCGCATGCACTTAACTGCTACGCCACGGGGCCAGCCCCCTAAACTTATTATCTTATAAATTTATTATCTTCTGGAGGTCAGAAGTCCCAAAATAGGCCTTACAGTGCTAAAATCAAGGTGTTGGGATTGTACTCCTTTTGGAGGCTTTAGGGGAGAATCCATTCCTTGCCGTTTCCAGCTTCTGGAGGCTGTTCACATTCCTTAGCAAGTGGCCCCCTTCTAGCAATGGCATCACTCCATCATCTGTTTCTGCCATTATCTCCCTCTCTGACTCTGACCCTCCTACCTCTCTCATATAAACACCTTTGTTATTACATTGAGCACACCCAGCTAATCCAGGATAATGTTCCCATCTCAAGATCCTTAAATTAATGATATCTGCAAAATCCCTGTTGCCATGTAAGGTATATTTATTCATAGGTTCCAGGGATTAGGATGTGGACATTTGTTGGGGGAAGAGAGGGGCATTATTCTGTCTACCACAGATTCTGATTCAAACAAAACATCTGTAAAAAGACATTTTTCACAGAATTGGGAAAATTTGACCATAGATTGGGTATCATATATAGAAATTGTTATTAATTTTTTAAGGTATGATCATGGCATTGTGGTTATGGTTTTTTTTTTTATAATTTTATTTATTTTTTCCCCCAAAACCCCAGTAGATAGTTGTATGTCATAGCTGCACATCCTTCTAGTTGCTGTATGTAGGACGCGGCCTCAGCATGGCCGGAGAAGCGGTGCGTTGGTGCACACCCGGGATCCGAACCTGGGCCGCCAGCAGCGGAGCGCACGCACTTAACCACTAAGCCACGGGGCCAGCCCGTGTGGTTATGTTTTTAATGTAGGCCATCTATTGGAGATGCTTACTCAATTATTTACAGGTGAAATGATATCT